CGAGGTGCGGTGGGGGGTCCGGGAGAGGGTAAGGGTGGCGCATGGGCCAGGAAATCTCGGGTGGGGGGTCCCAAGAGCAGAAATCCAAATGGTAGGGATGCGGAGCAGCAGTGGGTGGTCAAGGCGGGGGGGTCAAGGTCGGATCCCGGCCAGGAATTGTCTGGCGTGGGATCCCAAGAATAGCTGTCTAGAGTGTCGGGATGCCGCGGCGAGGAGTACGTGTGAGGTGTTAGGGTCGGGTCTGGACCAGCAACTGTCAAGTGGGCGGGCCCCAAGACCAACAAGTCAAAAGGGTAGGGATGCAGGGCGCGGTGGGGGGTCACGGTGACAGGTCAGTACCGGGTCCAGGGCAGGAGTTTTCAAGTGTGGGGGGCCCAAGCCCAAAGGTTCAGAGGGTGGAGATGCCGGTGATGAGTTAGGGCGCATCGTGAGGAGTTGGTGCGGGGGGGGAGGGTCGGTTCTGGGCCAGGAATTGCCATGCGGGGGGGGCCAAAGAACAACAATCTAAAGGGTGGAGATGCCGAGGCGCGTCGGGGGATCAGAATGGGGGTCAGGGTCGGATCCGGGCCAGGAGTTATCCGATGGGGGTCCCGAAAACGGAAGTCCGAAAAGCAGTCAGGGTGATTGGTCAGGGTCGGGTCGGGGCCATGAATTTTCGAGTGGGGCGGTCCCCAGAAATGAAATCCAAAGGGTAGGGATGCCGAGGCGCGGTGGGTGTTCACGGTGGGGGGCAAGGGTCGGTGCCGGGCCAAGCATTGTAGGGCGGGGACTCCTGAGAACAGAAGTTCAGAGGGTCAGGATGCCGAGGCGCGGTCGCGGGTCATGGTAAAGTTTCAGGGTCGGCTTCGGGTCAAGAGCAGAAATCCAAAGGGTAAGGATGCGGAGAAGCGGTGGGTGGTCAGGCCGGGGTGCAGGGTCGGGTTTGGGTCAGGAATGGTCAAGCGGGGGGGCCCCAAGGACAGCAGTCTAGAGGGTCGGGATGCCGAGGCGCGGTGGGGGACCAGGGTCGGTTCTGGGCGAAGAGTAATCGAGTGGGGGAGTCCCAGGAACATCAATCCAGAGAGTGGGGGTGCCGAGGCGCGGTGAGGGTGCAGGGCGAGGGGTCAGGGTCAGGTCTTGGCTAGGAACTGTCGGGTGGGGGGGCATAAATCAGAGAGTCAAACGGTAGGGATTTCGATGCGCGGTGCAGGGTCCGTGTGGGTCGAATCTGGGCCAGGAATTTTGGATTGGGAGAGATGCGGAGGCGCGTTGGGGGGTCACGGTGACGGGTCAGTGCCGGGCCCAGGACAGGAGTTTTCGAGTTGGGGGGGGCCCAGGGACAAAAGTTAAGGTGTGAACATGCCGAGGCGCGGTGGGGGGTTAGGGTCGGTTCCGAGGCAGGAATTGTCATGGCGTGGGTCCCATGAACAGGCGCGGTGGGGGTCAGAGAGAGGGGTCAGCGTTTGGTCCGTGGCAGGGAGTCTCGGGTGGGGGGTCCCAAGAAGAACAGTCTAGAGGGTTGGGATGCGGAGTCGCAGTGAGGAATCAGGGTGAGGGGGCAGGGTCTAATTGAGGCCAGGATGTGTCGGGCGAGGAGTGTCCAGAACAGAAGTCCAACGGGTGTGGATCCCGAAGCGCGGTTGGAGGGTCAGGGTGGGGGGTCAGGGTCTTTTCTGGGCAAGGAATTGTGAGGTGGAGGGCCCCCCAGTACGGAAGTTCAGAGAGCGGGGGTGCCGAGGCGCGGTGGGGGGTCAGGGCGGGGGGCCAGGGCCAGGGATTGTCGAGCGGGGGTCCCAAGAATAGAGGTCTTGTTCCGGGCCGGGAATTGTGGAGTGGGGGGCGCCAAGAACATAAGTTCGGACGGTGGGGACGCGGAGTCGCGGTGGGGGGTCAGGGCGGGGGGTCAGAGTCGGTTCCAGGCAAGAACGTGTCAGGGAGGGCGGGCCAAAACACAGAAATCCACAGGGTAGAGCTGCCGAGGCGCGATTGGGGGTCAGGGCGGGAGGGCACGGTCGGTTCTGGGACAAACATTTTCGCGTGGGAGGTCCCAGCAACAGCAGGCGATAGGGTGGGGATGACGAGTCGCGGTGGGGGTCTGGGTCGGTTCCGGGCCAGGACTCGTCAAATTTTCGATCGAGTTCACGATCGACCTCACAATCGATCTCGTTATCGATCTCACAATCGATCGCACTATAGATCGCACGAGCGACATCACGATCGATCCCACTTTCGATCTCACTGAACCGTCTTCACTATCGGTCTCACGACCGGCCTTATTATCGTCCTCGCTATCGATCCCACTATCGATCTCACAATCGATCTCAATAGCTATATCTCTAATTTTCAAACTATCCACTGCTTGGGTTTCTTCTCTAGAAGTGTTGAAGTTACAAGGGGCCAAGGAGTCCGCCGCACAGGCGACCAGGAATCCCGAAAATCCCATACCTCTCAGACTTTCAAGATCTTAAGAAACATTGGTGAGGTTCGAACATTCCAGAGTGCTTTCAGTTTTGAGATATTCTATTTTCGTCCAACATTTGGAATGTGCAAGGGCCCTGGAGTTCGCAGCGACCAGGAATCCCGAAAGCACCGGGCCCTCCAGAATTTCAACATGCCTTAAAGTTTCAAGCGCCAAGTTCTCCTTATTTTGACTGATAAAATTTAGTTTAAAGAAACTTCTACATTTGAGAGTTTCAGGGGCCATGGAGTCTGCAGCCCAAGCGACCAGGAATCCCGAAAGCTCTGGGCTCTCCACAGTTTCAAATTTGCTTGCTGTTTATTGAATCGCTTCGCTCATTCCGCCGGCCCGTGATATGGCATCGCTGGTTTTTGTCTGTGTGTTCGTTGCCCATGTTGCGCTCTTGGGGGCGGGTGTCGTTCGGACGCGTTGCGTGGGGAGTTTTGATGGTGAAGCAGTTCCCTGGGGGTCGTCTCTCGATGGGGCGAAATAGAGTCGTCGTCAAGATGCTTCTTTGGGGGGCCTCTTGGGGTCTGTTGAGAGGCCGTTCGGGGGCGCCTGGGAGACATGTTTGAAGCCTTCTGGGGCTTCTTTTGGGCCTCCTGGGAGTCTCCTGGGGCCTCTTGGCGACATCTTGGGGCCTCTTGGAGGCCTCTTGGGGCCTCTTTGGGACCTCCTGGGCGCCTTCTGGGACGGAGGGCTCGATTTTTCAGTTCTCGGTATCCCTCTTGAGCCCCTCTTGGGCCCGTCTTGGGGCCTCTTGGTCCGTCTTGGGCGGCACTTGGGCCGTCTTGAGGGCTCTCTTGGGTCGTTTCGGCGCCGTCTTGGGAGCTTCGTGGGCCGTCTTGGAGCGGTCTTGGGGGCCTCTTGGGCCGTCTTGGAGCGTCCGGAAGCCGAAAAAGCCAGAACGCAAAAAACATCGGAAAAACCAATGAAAATCAACGATTTTGGCCTCTTGGGGCCCTCTTCGGAGGCCTCTTGGAAGGCTCTTGGGGCGTCTTGAAGGCCTCTTCGGCTGTCTTGGGGGTCTCTTGGGCCGTCTTGGGGTCATCTTCGGCGCCTTGGAGCGCTCTTTGAACGTCTCGGGGGCCTCTTGAGCAATCTTGGGGGCCTCTTGGGGCACTCTTGGCGCGCTCAGGGCGGCCTGAGAGGCCGCACCCAGAAGGAAAACCATCTCTGAGTTGAACCGGGCGGGACCTTCCCAGGCGGCGGGCGGGGTACTTTTCGCCGGGGGACCCCCAGGGGCCGCCCCGCGCGCGCGAACTAGTACAATACAATTGTTAACCAGTTACCGGAGATCTTAGCACGCCTCTGGCCCGTTGGGCCGGCGAATTAAGCATGGCTCCAAACTGTTCGATTCTTGCTTGTTTCTTTTTGCAATAGTGAATCCTCCAGGGACCCTGGAGTCCGCAGCCCAGGCGACCAGGAGTCCCGAAAGTTAATTTCAATGTTTCTGTCTGGTCGTTTTAAAAATGTGTAGACACATCCGGATTATTGTAATGCTCAGCAGTGATTGCCAATGTCATATGTCACTGAATTATCAAAGGGCCTTGGAGTGCACAGCCCAAACGACCAGGACTCCCCAACATTATAGACACTTATATCGTCCACTATCTTCAAAACTGTTGCAATTGTTCTAAGGTGTTTACGTCTAAGTTGGTCTAGTACTCAGTGTGCGTATTATTATGGCTCTCGGTTTGGTGCTGCATGTACTTTCTCCTTAAACGTTTGAAATTTCCAGGGGCCATGGAGTCGGCAGCCCAGACCACCAGGAATTCCGAAAACTCTGAACTCGTCAGGATCTCAAATTTCTAGACTTCTTCCAAATAGTCTTCATGTTTTACAGAGTTCTAGATGTTTCAAAACATTGTTTGGCATTGCCAGAGTCCCTTGAGCCCCCAGCCCAGGCGACTAGGAATCCCGAACACTGCAGAGGGAGATGACAATGAGGAGGAGGGTGATGGAAGGAAGCGGGGGATGTGACATGATCAGGAGGAGGAGGCGGAAGATGAGGAGGAGGAGGATGAGGACGAGGACGAGCACGAGGACGATGACGAAGAGGGTGAGTGGAAGAAGCGAGGAAGGAGGAGTGATATGAGGTTGGATACCAGTATTTCCTCCTGGTCGACCGTGCCCATCGCTATGGTCGACCGTGCCATCTGGTATGTGGTTGTGGTCGCCCGTAATTGCCCCCCCGTCCCCCTACCCCTGGGTATGTGGTTGTGGTCGCCCGTAATTGCCCCCCCGTCCCCCTACCCCTGGGGGCAGAGGGGGAGGGTGTGAGAAGGTTTTGAAGGGTTTGGCTGATGTTCCCTGGCATGAGGGTCCAGCAGGACGATGCCCCGAAGATGTGTTGCACCTCCCGTCATTCGGGCAGGGGCACCAGACTTTGCGACGGTCTCGCCACACCAGAGCCGCCATCTTCCAGCTGTCTCCAGGTCTTTTCTGGACTGCCCTTGGGGCCTCTTGGGGCCTCCCGAGGCCCACGAAGGTCTTGATAACTTCCGCGTGCACCGATGGTTCATCGAATGACGCCGCCGACAGAGCGTGGAGATGCCCGCAGGCGGTCGGTGAGGTTCTGAGGATGGCCGACCTGCCGTGGGAGGTGAATGCCCACGCGCTGGGCATGAAGTCGAACGGGAACGAGCTCCAGAAATACATCGCCCCGCGAGGAGAACGGGGCTGTCGTCGGGCAGTGGGAACCTCTTCCCTTCCCGCCTCTCCTCCCGCACCTGCCCGCGTGAGATCTTGCACCCGCGGGGGCGCTCGCGGGGTGGGGGGAGGAGGGGGAGCAGGAGAGAGGGAGGGAGGGAGGGAAGGGGACGGTGAAGAAAAGGCAGGAGGATGTGGAGAAGCAACCATCACGCGCCTTCCTCCTCGGCGTGGGACCCTTCCTCCTCGTCCTCCTCCTCTCCCTCTCCTGAGTCCTCGAAGGCCTGCTCTCGGAGGCTTTTGCATGGCCCAGAGGTTTGTTTCGCCCTAGAAGAAAGTATCAGAGTAGGACCAATTGTGCCCCCAGAGCCTCGATCCGCCCACCTTCTCCTTCCCGTCTTACGTGAGCCTCAGAGACAGCTGGCGGTTGCCACCACCACCACCAGTTGGTCGCTGGTCGCTGCGGGCCCTGGCACCAGTATTAACATCAGGCGCAGCCCTCCCCTCCCCTCCCCAGCGGCGCCCTGTCACCATGGAGTGCACGCAACCAACATAGTTGCTGGGGCGGAGGCGCGGGGGGGGGGCCCGGTGGAGGAGGAAGACCGACCAGAAGGGGGAAAGCACGACGGAAGAAGGCGGGAGGAGGGCTGCGGGTCTTCTCCTCTTCCTCCTCCTCCTCCTCCTTCTCCTGACACCTTCTCCTGCTCGCCGAGGGGTGCGCGCCGGGCCGCGGATCTTCTCCTTCCCCCGAGGATCTCCCCCGTTGGTGTCAACAGTTCTGGCTTGACGCCGGGTGTGGTGCATCTCAGCTTGACCCAACAGGTTGGTTGCGCCCCTTGGCCCCTTGACGTCCATTTTGGGTTATCTGCACACCTGACCCCCCAGCCCTACTCAAGTGAAGACATCGCCGTCGCAGTTTCGCCCGGCCTTTTTGGACTCCAGGTCGTCGTCCAGGCAGGATGTCTCGAGGCCGTTGTGTGCCCTTGGCAGTGTGGCTAGGGGTGTTTTGGGCCTTCAGCTCACGCCCTTGGGGCGTTGTAGCCCTTCTCGTGGGCCTCGAAGACCTCCCAGGCCGGCACGCCCGAGCACCGCGACCTCTGCGAGAGCCTCGATTTGGAGCTGCTCGGGGTCGGCAGGGCCTGGGTCCTCCCCCTCGGCCGTCGCTGTAGGGCTGGCGGCGCTCTGGCCCGTGGGCGAGGGCGCCTTCTCCTGGCTCGCGTCGCACTCTGGCCCGTGGGCCGTGGTGCCTTCTGTCGGTATCGTTTAACCGAGCCCATCCCCATCCCCGTCCCCATCCAGACCCCCCGCATCCTTGCACCCCAGTTGGCGACACACAGCTCGAATCCCGAAGGGAACAGCCCACATCCCAATCTAGGGGGTCAAGAGGCCATTGGGGCCCAGGCCACGTTCATGGGGATAGGGGTCGGTTGAACAATGCCCATTCTGCTGGCCCGCCCTCACAGGAGTTCTCGCCTTGGGGGGCTCCCAGGTCTCCTTCTTCGGCCATGCGCAGAGGGGGCTAGGGGGAGGGGGGAAGGCTTCTTAGAAGCAGCCTCCTTCTAAGAAGCCTTCCCCCCTCACCCTACTCCTTTGTGCACGCCGCCAACTTACGTCGAGGTGCCCCGCTTGGATTTCGCTGCAGGGGCGGCCTTTTGCAGTCGCATCCCTGCTGGTCCTCCAGGTTGCCGCGCTGGTCCTCGAAGCTGCTCTGCTGGTTCTGGCCGTAGCTCTGCTGGCATCCTGGGTATCTCCGCTCGTTCTTCAAGTTGTCCTGGAAGGCCTGGGCTGAAGTCGCTCCGCTGGTCCTCGCTGGCCTCGAGCGGCCGGCGGGACTGGCCTCGGGCGGATCGCGCATGCAGCCTTCCGGGTGACGGCTAGGAATGATCTCGCATCATGTGTTGGGGGGCGCGGTAAAGGTTGTCTCGCGGTCTTGGTCGGATTCGGTGTATTTTGGATGGCATAGTCATCGCCCCCCTCTTGGGTTCGAGGGGGGGGGGGATGGGTGTGTGCCGTCGGGGCGGGATTGGGGGGGATGGCAGTTTTGAAGCTCGACTTCCTGGGCCAGGTCGGGAGGGATGAGAATTTTGGGGCGCGCGTTGAGGGGCGGTGGGGGGTGGGGATGGGTTCGCTCGGTTGGAAGGTTCTTCGCCCCCCCCCCCCCCCCGGGATTATTATGCCATACGGAGTACTCGTACCTCGCCTTGGTCGTGCAGGCGCTGCAGATGCCGCAGCCCGTGTAGCCCCGGTGGATGTCGCGGGCGCCTCGCCGCGTGGCCGCTGCGCGAGGCTGGCGGGCGCCACGCGCGGCCAATCATTCCCGCTTGGCCCCACGCCACCTCGCGAGGGGCCGGGCGAAAGGGCCCCCCCCCCTTTGAGAGTTTGGGCCTCCCGGATGGGGTCGGAGCAGGTGGGGTCGGAGGATCGCGTCGCATCGCCGATGCATCGTCGATGCGGCTCGATGCGGAGCCCGTGTTTTCTCACGCCGACGTCGCCGATGCATCGCCGATGCGTCGCCGATGCATCGCCGATGCGTCTCCGATACATCGGCGATGCATTGGAGATGCGGCGCGATTCTTCGACCCCATCTACTCGGACCCCATCTAGGAGGCCTCTAGTGAGAGACAGCGGCTACCACCACCTGGACCAAAACACTTATGTTTTTTTCCGTCGGTGGCTAGGCAGAGTAACTGCGCTGGCGGAAAGCAGTCAAAACGGGGATAGCGTTGATGCGAATTGTATCAACATGCAGGAACATGGAGGGAGACAGAGAGGCGGCCACAGGAGGAGACACGGAGCGAGCTGGCCCAATAACCAAACGACACCACCCCACCTGCGGCCCTCTGCGCTGCGCTGCGGCCCATCGGGCGCCGCAGCGCACACCGCGCCGAAACCCACGCCAGTTCTCCTTGTGTACGCTAAGCCCCCCCCCCCTGGGACCGTATTCGGGGTGGTGTCGTTTGCTTCCGGGCCCACCGCCTCCTCCTCCTCGTTGTCTCCGCCGTCGCCCTCCTCTCTCGATCCGCTCGGGCGCGAGCGGCAGACCGGTACCGGTTCGGAGGGCGAGGGCGGGGGTGGCGCGGCGCCACAGAGGGAGCAGCGGATCTCAAGACGGATCAAGGCGTCAAGAGGTGCGTTTTGTTGTTCTCTTCAGGGGTCGACCTAAACGGTGCTTTCGCGATTTCATGGGCCGTGTTCGTTTGGGATTGGCTTCGCAGCACAGGCGGATCGACGACAACACGGGGGAAACCGAGAACAAAACGAGCACGAGGGTCAACGTTTAGGTCGATACCAGCCCCTTTTTCACCGCTCTCCTTTGCAGCACTGCGATTTGACCGGCCAGAGGCCGGGATCCGGGGCATTCTTGTCCCGTTTGGAAGCGAGTGCGTTTGAGGCGGCAGTAGAAAGAGGAACAAGCGAAGACGACGACGAAGAGGGAGAATTTTTCGACAACATGGCGAACACTGCTTTCCTGACAAAGCCCCCCCGCCGTGCTCTCGTAGGGCCTTTTTTCTTGGTCGACTGTCAGCGCCTCGCCTCGCCCACCCGAAACAGTCGATCCAAAGTGCCTTCCTTCGCCTCCTCCTCGTCTCGAAGAAGGAAGGAACAATTTGCACAATCATTATCTTTAGACTGTCCGTGCGGGTTTCTTCGAGGACGAAGGGACCCTATGTGCAGCGACTTTTTCGGTTGGGCGAGTCCGCCGCGAAGTCTGCTCGCGCTGCTCCTCCCTCGCCTCTTTCGCCGTCGCCGCCTCCTCCTCCGCCCCAGGGGGACGGCCCTACGCTGGGCCTGGCCGTGGCGACGGGGCCCTGGCACCTGCCGCCAGTGCAAAGAATGGATAGAGCGCGCTCGTGGGGCCCGATCGACTAAAAGGGGGGCCCCAGCTTGAAGCTACCCCCCTCGCCCCTTCCTTGCTAAAGGGGGGGGGGCTTCGGAAGGAAGCCCCCCCCCCCCCTCCCCCCTTTTCGTGCTCCGGAAAGGGGGGGGGGGGGGGGGGGGGCTTCCAAGCTACCCCCTCCCCCCCCTCCCTTTAAGTGAGCTGGGGTGAGCCACCCCCCCCTTTGAAAGGAGGGGGGGGGGCTTCGGAAGCTACCCCCCCCCCTCCCTTTTCGTGGCCGGAAAGGGGGGGGGGGCTTCCAAGCTACCCCCCCCCCTCCCTCCTTTTAATGGAGCTGGGGTGAGCCACCCCCCCCTTTGAAAGGGGGGGGGCTTTGGAAGTCCCCCCCCCCCTCCCTCCCTTGGTGCAAAAGGGGGGGGGGGCTTGAAGCCCCCCCCCTTCCTCCCTTTGGCCGCCCAGCTCCCGGAGCCATCGCTCTCCCTTTCGCCTCCATTTATTCCCGCCGCTCTCCCTCCTCCTCTTCTTCCTTTTGCCTCCTCTTCCTCGTCCTCCTCATCCTCCTCATAGTCATCATCATCATCATCATCATCATCATCATCATCATCATCATCATCATCATCATCATCATCATCATCATCATTATCAACATCAGCATCAGCATCATCATCATCATCATCATCATCATCGTACTCCCCCGCGGGTCCTTCCGTTCCGTTCATCCGCCTCCTCCTCCTCGGTTTTCTTCTCCTCCTCCTCCTCCTCCATTTTTCCCTCCTCCTCATCATCATCATCATCATCATCATCATCATCATCATCATCATCATCATCATCATCCTCTTCCTCTTCCTCTTCCTCGTCCCTCATCCTCCTCCTCTTCCTCCTCCTCGTTATCCTCCTCCGTTTCCCCATCCTCCTCCTCCCTCCCTCCTCCTCCCCCTCCTCCTCTCCTCCTCCTCCCTCTCCTCCCATCCCTCTCCTCCTCCCCCCTCCTCCTCCTCTCCTCCTCCTCCTCCTACCTTCCTCCTCCTCCCCTCCTCCTCCTCCTCCTCCTCCTCCTCCTCACCCTCCTCCGCCTTCTCCTCTCTCCTCCCCCACCTCCTCCTCTCCTCCTCTTTTTCCTCCTTCTCCTCCCCCCCTCGCCCTCCTCATTCTTCTTGCCTCCTCCTCCCTCCTCCTCCTCCTCCTCCTCCTCCTCCTCCTCCTCCTCCCCCTCCGCCTCCCCCATCCTCCGCCTCCTCCTCCCCCAGCTGGCCGCCGTCTTACACGAACACTGCCAAACCCGACGGGCTGGCGTTCTCCGAATTACACTTCGTGCAACTTTCGGGGGGGGAATAGTATTTTTCCCAACCCTCCTTGGTTGGGTATTCGTTTTGAATAGAGCAGTGTGGTCTCCACTTCCTCCTTCCCGTCCCGTCTCCCTCTTGCCTCCTCCTGTCTTGCCTGCGGGGGGCTGCGATCTGTGAAACTGTCGCCACTTTCGAGGCCTGCTGGGGGGCCCAGCACAGTGACGCCACGGGCGGACCCAAATTAGACCTCGCCATCCCTGGGGGGCTGCGATCTGTGAAACTGTCGCCACTTTCGAGGCCTGCTGGGGGGCCCAGCACAGTGACGCCACGGGCGGACCCAAATTAGACCTCGCCATCCCTGGGGGGCTGCGATCTGTGAAACTGTCGCCACTTTCGAGGCCTGCTGGGGGGCCCAGCACAGTGACGCCACGGGCGGACCCAAATTAGACCTCGCCATCCCTGGGGGGGTGCGATCTGTGAAACTGTCGCCACTTTCGAGGCCTGCTGGGGGGCCCAGCACAGTGACGCCACGGGCGGACCCAAATTAGACCTCGCCATCCCTGGGGGGCTGCGATCTGTGAAACTGTCGCCACTTTCGAGGCCTGCTGGGGGGCCCAGCACAGTGACGCCACGGGCGGACCCAAATTAGACCTCGCCATCCCTGGGGGGCTGCGATCTGTGAATCTGTCGCCACTTTCGAGGCCTGCTGGGGGGCCCAGCACAGTGACGCCACGGGCGGACCCAAATTGGACCTCGCCATCCCTGGGGGGGTGCGATCTGTGAAACTGCTGCCACTTTCGAGGCCTGCTGGGGGGCCCAGCACAGTGACGCCACGGGCGGACCCAAATTAGACCTCGCCATCCCTGGGGGGGTGCGATCTGACGCGCGGACCCAAATTAGACGGCGCCATCCCTGGGGGGCTGCGATCTGAGATCCCCGCTTTCGAAGTGGCTAGGGTTGCTCAGGGATTTGAACTAATCACAATTATCTAGTCCTTGTCCTGAAGCCAGTGTCCTGCGAGTCTCACGAATTCCGTCTGCAGACATATGTAACCCTCGCTCCGTCATCGCCACCCCTATAAAAGTATCCTAAACTATTTGCGCCCCGCGTTTGCGCAGGGGTTGGGTACGTCGCCAGGGTAATGTTTCGTTCCCGGGCGTTGGCACTGGACGAGTTGAATGATACATTTGCGTTGCAATCGATTGCAATCCATTGGATTGCAACATATTCGATTGCAATCCATTGGATTGCAATCGATTGGATTGCAATCGGTTGAATTGCAATCGATTCAATGGATTGGATTGCAGGGGAGGGACAGGACGGAAGGGAGGAAGGGGAGGAGAGGGAGGGGAGGGAGGAGATGGAACGAAGGGTGGGGAGGGAGGGGAGGGAGCGGAGGGAGGTGGGGAGGGGGATTGCAGTGGAAGGGAGTGCAATCGATTGCAAGCGATTCGATTGGAATTTTCGATCGTCGATCGTTGATCGTCGATCGTCCATCCTCGATCGTGGATTGTTCATTTTGGATCGTCTGCGAAAGGGAGGGCGGAGGCTCCGCGGGCTGGGTGGCCAAAGGGGGGAAGGGGGGGGGGCTTCCAACCCCCCTCCCGTTTGGCACAAAGGGGGGGAGGGGGGGGGAGCTTCCAGCAGGGCGGCTCCAAGGGAGGGGGGGGTAGCTTAAGCACCCCCCTTCCTTGGAAAGGGGGGTATAGGGGGGGTAGCTTCCGGGGCTGCCAAAGGCGGGGGGGGGTAGCTTCCAAGCACCCCCCCCCCTTGCACGAAAGGGGGGGAAACGGGGGGGAGAGCTTCCAGCAGGGTGGCGCCAAGGGAGGCGGGGGTAGCTTAAGCACCCCCCCCCCCCTTGGAAAGGGGGGGGGTCGCTTCCGGGGAGAGCTCAAGGGGGGAGGGGGGGGTAGCTGTAAGCCCCCCCCCCCTTGCAAAAAAAAGGGGGGGAGAGGTGGGGGGTGCTTCCAGCAAGGGCGGCTCAAGGGAGGGGGGGGGAGCTTAAGCCTAGCCCCCCCTCCCCTTTGCTCGGGCCCTGTGGGCGCGCTCTCTCAAATCATGAATCCCTGCCGGCTCACTGCCACCGCCCGGGCGCCACCCACCTGACCCCTCGCAGGGCCGTCCCTTTGGGACGACACATGAGCAACGTCGGCAGGGCTCACTTCGACCCCATCCGGTCCGCTCCGATTCGATGTCGATGGATTCCGATTTCGGTTGGATTCGACTTCGGTTTCCGATGTGGATTCCGATTTCTCCACGTAGTCGGTCGACTGATGGAACACCATACGTTTTTGTTTTGCGGAGCTCCGTTCGAATTTCTCGGATCGGCGCAGAAGCCCATTTTGCGCCCGCCTCCTGCGCCGCCCCTGGTGCGCTCCGCCGAGGAGGGGCGCGCAGCGCCGATGCAAGAAGTCCGCGTGAGCCTCCCACCAATTACACGTATACCCAACCATCCTGTGTTGGGCCTTCGTTTTGAAGAGACAGCGCCCCGCGTTCTCCTCTCCTTCTCCTCCCCCTCCTCCATTCTCCCATGCGTGCCTCTGCCCTCGGCATGTCCATTTCGGCACTCTGCCCTCCGCATGCCCATTTCGGCACACCCCTCACACGGTTCGTGGTTCCACAGGGCGCTCTTCCCAAGGCCCCAGTGACCGCGTTCACATGCGTCCACCCCGCCCACCGCATGCCCATGTCGGCACACCCCTCACACGGTCCGTGGCCCCATAGGGAGCTCCACCCAAGGCCCTAGTGGCCGCGTTCACATGCGTCCACCCGCCCACCGCATGCCCATGTCGGCACACCCCTCACACGGTTCGTGGCCCCATAGGGAGCTCCACCCAAGACCCCAGTGGCCACGTTCACATGCGACCACTCCGCCCACCGCATGCCCATTCCGGCACACCCGTCACACGGTCCGTGGCCCCATAGGGAGTTCCACCCATGGCCCCAGTGACCGCGTTCATATGCGACCACCCCGCCCATCGCATGCCCATGTCGGCACACCCCTCAAACGGCTCGTGGCTCCATGGGGATCTTCACCGAAGGCTCAAGTGGCCACGTTCACATGCGTCCACCCCGCCCACCGCATGCGCATGCCGGCACACCCCTCGCACGGTCCGTGGCTTCATAGGGAGACCCAGGGCCCCAGCAGCCGCGTTCCATCGCGACCACCCCACCCACCGCATGCCCATGTCAGCGTACCCGTCAGACGGCTCGTGGGCGAATAGGAACTTTTGTTGAATGAAACCGTAGGCCGAGACGGCTTAAGCACGTTTAAGCAAGAGCCTGATACGCTACCCTTTCCGCAGCCTCTTTGGCACAAGAGTGATCATGGTAGCGGAACTGGCTGTGACCAGCTCCCGCTGGGCGCCCCTCCCGCGACTGAGGGCGCTTGCCATAGCCCTCCCGGCCGCGGCTGGCCAGCCAGAGCGAGCGATCCACGGCACGCAGCTCAACGAGGTCTACGTGACCAAGCAGTTGAACGAGATCTACGTGACCAAGCATCTTGGGACTCTACGTGACCAAGCAGCTGGACCAGGGGCACGTGACCACAAGAGCAAGTCAAGGTCTACGTGACCACAGCAGAGCTGGACCAGGTCTACGTGACCACCAGGGTGCAGGGCGAGGTCTACGTGACCACAGACGAGCAGGACGAGGACTACGTGACCACAGACATGCAGAACGAGGTCTACGTGACCATGACAGAGCCTGGTGCCGAGTGGCAGGGCTCAGGGCTGAAGCCGCCAACGTTCGACGGCCAAGAGGAGCACTGGACGGAGTGGAGTTTCGTGATGAGGGCGTACCTGGGCGGCCAGACGGCGCAGGCGCTGAATCTTTTAGAGGCGGCTGAGCAGCGTGGAGATCCAGACATCAGCATGGCGGAGACCCTGCGCCGGTTTGGAGCCGAGGGAGCTTCGGCAACGAAGAATATGTTTTTCCCCGCTGGTCACGACAGTGAAGGGCAGCGCGCAGATGCTGACCATGAGCGTGAAGAAACATAATGGGGCGCCGGCGTGGCGAGCTTTTGATCAAGCGTTACGAGCAAGCGACGGCCATGAGAGCGCAGAGCATCACGACGGCGATTCTTAATGTGAAGCCATTCCCCTTTGGATCTGTCAGTGGCCGAGCAGTGCCATCCAGACTGGGGGCGCGATATCAGACGCTACGAGACGGCGCCAGGAGAAGTGTTCAACGCAGGAGCCAAGAAGAAGATCTACTTGCAGACAGCTCCGAAGAACATCAGGACGGCGCTGCAGATGCAGATGCAGAGCGAGAGGAGCTGCGACGAGCTGATCAGCACCGCGATGCAGCACCCTCAAGCGGCGACGGTGCACGAGGACGGGCGCCAGCAGAAGTGGCCGAGCCCACCAGGGCCAGGAGCAGAAGGCGGTAAAGGAACCCGAACATCGGAAGCCATGGATGTGGACGCGCTGACGCGGCTGCATCTCAAAGGTAAAGGCAAGGCCGACAAAGGTAAAGGTAGCAACGAAAAGGCAAGACCAGGAGCAACGACCAGAAGGGCAAGAGCGCGGATCCCATGGCGAGGACAGCAGCGACGCGACAGCCGGCGTGGAGTATGACAGGAGTACCTGCGGCGAGGCTTTGTTGCACCTGTGGCCAGAGGGGGCGCGATGCGAGGGACTGCTGGCATCGACAGGAGAAGCCAAGCTACGAAAAGGGTACGCAGAAGGTCAAGAAAGGGCAGGAAGGGAAAGCGAACGAGATCACGATGTACGGCGGTTGGAGCAACATCTTCACGCCGCCACCGGGGCGCCCAGCGCCATCGACAGCAGGGCCTTCAGCCAGCCAGGTGGGGGGAGGAGTTCGAGCGATCTCCGCGATAGACGAGCGCACGTCAAAGAGGGATGGTGGCTTCATCTTCGCAGTTACAAAGGGCGGGAAGCCACAGGTGCAGGAGAGAAAGGTCTACAACATGATGGGGGCGGCATGTGGTGTTCGTTCAGGATGCTCACTGGGAACTGCGCAGGTGAGCACGTGTTCGGCATCGGGGACTTCCCGTGCGTAGAGCTCAACCCAGGACGCACGCCCCACCTTGCGGTCGCAGGCGGCGCACCACCGAAGCCCTACGGATTGAAGACGGTCGCGCTCTACATGACCGACGACAGGCGCATCGTGATGGAGCCCCAGGTCGACGACGTGAGGCAGCCCATTATGACAGCGGGCAAGTTCTGCAGCAGCAAAGAGAACCGCGTGGCTCGGCAGGGCGGCAAGGGATGGCTGCTGAGGCACGAGACGTCAGGACTGGTCAAGCTTAAGAAGATCAACAACCACTACGCACTGGTGTGTTGGAGCACGATGTACGATGACATGGAGGAGGTCCGCAAGGAGACGACGCTGGCGCCGACCGGGGCGGCAGTCGCAGCAGCCCGACCAGGTGAAGAGGGCGAAGACGGAGACGCTTTTCAACGAGCATTGGCAGGAGGGCCACGAGCGATACCCCCAGGAGAGCGGCGGCAACCTGAAGTCGCATCACGAGGAGCCGCACCGGCAGAGAGACCAGCGGCAGTTCCCCACGATCACGAGACGGTGGAGCCCGAGACGACAGCCAGTGGATTACCTGGACCCCGCGAGCTGACGCACTACCCAGCTGAACCATGGCGCGAGATCCGCAATCAAGCGATGGCCAACGACATTGCCCAGACTACGGCCAGACGGGCATCGAGGGGGGGCCCGTCAACTTCGAGTTCGTGGTGGACAGCGAAGCTTCGACCAGGTGCATCTGGAGCACGGCCATCATCCAGGGGTCGCCACGACGTCTATACCGCGGTTTCGACAGTTTCATGGCTAGTCGAACTTGGACACTCACGAGTGGAACTACAAGCAGGAGGAGCAGCAGAGTTCTCGTTCATCATGGCAGTCAGGGCCAGGGCGATCAAAGGCGGCATCTGCGAGACGATCTCCATGCGGCAGTCGGAGAGGGACAACAGCCAGGCGAACGCCGGGGCCGAGAGAGCCATCCAGACGGTGAGGCAGCAGGTGGGGGCGTTGATGCTGCAGGTCAACGAGCAGCTGACCACGACCTCGCGTCCCCTATCCTCACGCATTTGCCGAGGCATGCAGAGCGGCTCTACAACATATACATGGTCAGGGAGGGCACCGATTTCGCGCCCTACGAGAAGACCCACATGCTCAAGTACCGTGAGCCCATCGCAGCAGTCGGAGAGGCAGTGGTCTGCAGGAGGCCAGGAGCCCATGTCAACAAGCTGGAGTCATCGTGGCTGGAGGGCATTTGGCTAGGGCGCGGCGCGAGGACGGACGAGCACCTGATCGGAACACCGACTGGAGCGTGCAGGTTCAGGGTGGCGAAGAGGAAGGTGTAGATCCGTCGCTGGGACCGACGCCGACCGCGCGGGGGGGGGGGCCACCGGCGCAGAGGTCACTACAGGAACCGATTCTCGTCGGGCCGTCACCGAAGTGCCCGGGCCCGAACGCGGCAGCCGCAGCAGGGGTAGCAGCAGCAGGAGGAGGACCACAACCAGCACCACCACAGCCAGCAGCAGCAGCGGCGGCAGCAATGCGCGACGACGTGGACATGGACAAGAGGCGGCTGGAGACGAAAAGGCCCCGGGACGAAGTGGCGGGACTGTCGGCGCCGAGGGCGGCGCCGCCTCAGCCAGCGGGCATTCCGCCGGCAGAGAGGGGCCCCTATAGCGAGAACGCGAAGGCGGAGAAGGGAGCGAAGGTGAGAAGTCTAGGGCCACCACCATCCGGATGATCAGTGCGGTCAGGGAGACGCGCGAGGAGCCGCGGGCGGAGGGCGAGCAGACGCGCGCTTTGGAGGGCGGCTTCGCGGAGGCAAGGAAGGAGCACTTGGAGAATATCGCAGGGGATGGCAAGCAGATCGCAAAGGTGATCCCGATCAAGGACATGCCGTCCAAGATCCTGACGGCCTGACGGGGAAGTGGGTCGACGCCTACCAGGCGGCCAGCAGCAAGCAGTGTCGGTGGATCACGAGGGGCTTTGTGCAGCAGGTGTGCGGCCATGAGAACCTCTTGGCCACGACCCCCTCATCTCCGCGCCTGAAGGCGATGCTGGTCAACGCGGAGTTGCGCGACCGCGTGGTGGCGTTTGGCGACAGCAGTGGGATCTTCTACCAGGCTCCGAGACCAAGGACGAGGTGCACATGCTGAGCGACGAGGTGCAGCTGGACACGGTGGGCCCCAGTCGCCAGTTGGCGAGCCACCGCCCTGACGTCCAACATAGATTTGGAGCTCTAAGAAGGGACACGTCAGGACCAAAGGAGTAGGGCCTGATGAGGTTGAAGAAGATGGCGCGGTACCTCGCAGGCACGCGCGACTACAAGGTGCAGTTGGTTTCGAACAAGGGAGGCATTGCAGTGGGGTATTGGGCGGGCGCAGACTGGGCCGACGACAAGACGGGCAGGGCCTCGACGAGCGGTAACATCCTGAAGCATCGCGGGTGCACCGCCCTGTCGTGGTCGAGGCGCCCAGGGCTGCGCGGCGTTGAGTTCAGCGGAGAGCGAGCTCTACGCGCTGGGCTCAGGAGCAGCAGGGGACTTGGACTGGCATCGCTACTCGAGGAGTGGAAAAAAAACAACGGCACCGCTCGCGATGAGCGACAGCAGCAGCGCGAAGGAGCGTGGGCCAGGACAGATGAAGCACGTGGAGATCTTCTCGTTGGCGCTGGAGCAGCGGCGCCAACGAGGCCGATTGCACGTCGGCAAGGCCTGCGCTCACAAGAGCCCAAGCGATATGATGACCAAGCGGGTGACTGGGGAGGAGCGGTAGACATTCACTGGGATGGTCGGCTTGGCGCGCTCGTAGGGAGATTGCAGCGCGAGCCCAGGCGGGTGAGAAAAGACGGGGCTGAGAAGGTTGCCTGCCCGTGTAGTGGGATGAAGTTTTTGAGGGGAGAAGGGCCTTAGTGGCCTAGCTACCCCCGCTCCATGTTGGAAGGTTTCATACTATTCCCAACCCTCCTGCGTTGGGTTCTCGTTTTGAATAGAGCACTGCTCGCGCGACTCCTTCCTTCCTTCCCGTCCCTCTCTTCCTCCTTGCCTTTGGCCTCGCCATCCCTAGGGGGCTGCGATCTGTGACACCGTCACCACTTTCGATGGCTGCTGAGGGGCCCAGCACAGTGGGTACCCACCGCAGACTCAAATTAGACCTCGCCATCCCTGGGGGGGCTGCGATCTGTGAAACTGTCGCCACTTTCGAGGGCTGCTGACGGGCCCAGCACAGTGGGTACCCACCGCAGACTCAAATTAGACATCGCCATCCCTGGGGGGCTGCGATCTGAGAAACTGTCGCCACCTTCGAGGGCTGCTGAGGGGCCCAGCACAGTGGGTACCCACCGCAAATTCAAATTTGACTTCGGCATCTCTGGGAGGCTGCGATCTGTGAAACTGTCGCCACTTTCGATGGCTGCTGAGGGGCCCAGCGCAGTGGGTACCCACCGCAGACTCAAATTAGACCTCGCCATCCCTGGGGGGCTGCGATCTGTGAATCTGTCGCCACTTTCGAGGGCTGCTGAGGGGCCCAGCACAGTGGGTACCACCGCAAACTCAGACTAGACCTCGCCATCCCTGGGGGGCTGCGATCTGTGAAACTGTCGCCGCTTTCGAGGGCAGCTGAGGGGCCCAGCACAGTGGGTACCCACCGCAGACTCAAACTAGACCTCGCCATCCCTGGGGGGCTGCGATCTGTGAAACTGTCGCCACTTTCGATGGCTGCTGAAGGGGCCCAGCACAGTGGGTACCCACCGCAGACTCAAATTAGACCTCGCCATCCAAAGGTGGCTGCGATCTGTGAAACTGTCGCCACTTTCGATGGCTGCTGAAGGGGCCCAACACAGTGGGTAACCACCGCAGACTCAAATTAGACCTCGCCATCCCTGGGGGGCTGCGATTTGTGAAACTGTCGCCACTGTCGAGGGGCCCAGCACAGTGGGTACCCACCGCAGACTCAAACTAGACCTCGCCATCCCTGGGGGGCTGCGATCTGTGAAACTGTCGCCACTTTCGAGGGCTGCTGAAAAGGGGCCCAGCACAGTGGGTACCCACCGCAGACTCAAATTAGACCTCGCCATCCCTGGGGGGCTGCGATCTGTGAAACTGTCGCCACTTTCGAGGGCTGCTGAGGGGCCCAGCACAGTGGGTACCCACCGCAGATTCAAATTAGACCTCGCCATCCCTGGGGGGGCTGCGATCTGTGAAACTGTCGCCACTTTCGAGGGCTGCTGAGGGGCACAGCACAATGGGTACCCACCGCAGACTCAAACTAGACGCCGCTTTCGTCCTTGTTTTCCTCCGGCAGTCACCTTCCCTCTGCTGCTGCCGTGCTGACGGTTCGGCTTCCCGCACGTGTTTTTCCTGCTCTGCGTTCCCGACTCCCCATGTCCTCGTCGAGCCTGTAGATGTCGCCCCTCGTTCTTGTATGGTTATCCTGCGCATCATGCCATAGGCGCGTGTCCCAAGTAGCTTACACAGCAAGTTGGTTGTCCATGCAAGTTTCGGCCAATTCCTCGTTTCCTCTGATACAGATGGGCTGGGTACGTCACAGGGTATTGTTTCAAACATTTTTGTTATATATGTAAAAAACAGCGTTCCCCTCCGAGGTCTGGCCCCAGAGTGGGCCTGGCGACCTCGACGGCGTGATGAGGGAAACCGTAAACAGAGAGGGTTTAAACACGTTTAATCAAGAGTCTGGTGCGCTACCCTTTCCGCTGCCTCTTTGGCGCAAAAGTTATCAAGCTCCACCCAAGGCCCCCGTGGTCGCGTTCACATGCGTCCACCCTGCCCACCGCGTGCCAATTTCGGCACCCCCCCCGCACGGTTCGTGGCCCCAGTGGAAGGTCCACCCAAGGCCCCAGCGGCCGCGTTCACATGCGTCCACCCCGCCCACCGCATGCCAATTCCGGCACACCCTCCAGACGGTTCGTGTCCCCATGGTGAGCTTCACCCAACGACCCAGTGGCCGTGTTCACATGCGGCCACCCCGTCCACCGCATGCCCATGTCGGCACACCTCACACAGCCCGTGGCCCCATGGGGTGTCCCACCCAAGGCCCCAATGGCCGCGTTCACATGCGTCCACCCCGCCCACCGCATGTCAATTTCGGCACACACACACACACCTCACACGGCTCGTGGCCCCATGCGGAGCTCCACCGAAGGCCCCAGTGGCCGCGTTCACATGCGCCCACCCCGTCAACCGCATGCCCATTTTGGCACGCCCTTTTCACACGGTTCGTTGGCCCCATAGGGAACTCCACCGCATGCCCATGTCGGCACACCCCTCACACGGTTCGTGGCCACACAGGGAGCTCAATTGAATGCCTCAGTAGCCGCGTTCACATGCGTCCACCCTGTCCACCGCATGCCCGTTTCGGCACACCCCTCACACGGTCCGTGGCCCCATATGGAGTTCAATTGAAGGCCCTAGTGGCCGCGTTTACATGCGTCCACCCCGCCCACCGCATGTTTCGGCACACCCCTCACACGGTCCGTGGCCCCATCGGGAGCTCCACCCAAGGCCCCAGTGGCCGCGTTCACATGCGTCCACCCCGCCCACCGCATGCCCATATCGGCACACCCGTCACACGGCCCGTGGCCCCATAGGGAGCATGGCGCCGAAGGCCCCAATAACAGGGCTCGCATGCGTCCACCCCTTCCACCGCATGCCCATTTCGGTACACCTTTCGCACGGTTCGTGGCCCCAAAAGGAGCATGGTGCCCGAGACCCAAGTGGCAGGGGCCGCATGCGTCCACCCCGCCCACCGCGGCTCGTGGCCCCAATCGGAGTTGTTGTTTCTCTTTGTCCTCCTCCTTCTCGTCCTCCCCCTCCTCCAGCCCCTCTCCGCAGTTAGTTTCCCAACTACCGTGGTGAAGGGACAGCGCCCCGCGTTTTCCTCTCGTCCTCCTCCCCTTCCTTGCTCCTCCAAAGCGTGCCGTTGCCTTCCGCACGTCCATTTCGGCACTCTGCTCTCCGCATGCCCATATCGGCACACCCCTCGCACGGTTCGTGGCTTTATAGGGGGGGCCACCCAAGGCCTCAGTGGCCGCGTTCACATGCGTCCACCCCGCCTACCGCATGCCCATGTCGGCACACATTTCACACGGTCCGTGGCCCCATCGGGAGCCCCACCCAAGGCCCCAGTGGCCGCGTTCACATGCGTCCACCCCGCCCACCGCATGCTTCGGCACACCAGTCACACGGTCCGTGGCCCCATAGGGAGCTCCATCCAAGGCCCCAGTGGCAGCGTGCACATGCGTCCACCCCGCCCGCGGCTTGCCGATGTCGGTCCGCACCTCACACGGTCCGTGGCCCCACAGGGTGCTGCACCCAAGGCCCCAGTGGCCGCGTTCGCATGCGTCCACCCCGCCCACCGAATGGCCATTTCGGCACACATCTCACACGGTCCGTGGCCCCACATGGAGTTGCACCCAAGGCCCCAGTGGCCGCGTTCGCATGCGTTCACCCCGCCCACCGCATGCCCATTTCGGCACACCAGTCACACAGTCCGTGGCCCCATAGGGAGCTCCACCCAAGGCCCCAGTGGCCGCGTTCACATGCGTCCACCCCTTCCACCGCATGCCCATTTCGGCACATCTCACACTGTCCGTGGCCCCACAGGGAGCTCCACCCAAGGGCCCCAGTGGCCGCATTCACATGCGTCCACCGCGCCCGCCGCATGCCCATTTCGGCAGACCCCTCACACGGTCCGTGGCCCCACATTGAGTTTTATCGATTCCTTCTCTGTTTGTTTTTCTCGTCCTGCCCCGCCTCCAACCCCTCTCCGCAATTATTCAAAAAGAATACCACTCTCGAATTGCCCATGACATTCGGGTTTCAGCAAAACCATGTCTGTGGTGTTGGATTCTCGTTTGAAGAGAAAGCGATCCCTCACCCCGACCGTGGCCTTATAGTGAGGCCAGTCGAAATGTGGACCCAGAACGCGGTATTCCTACTTGCTTATGGTTGGGTCCTTCCTCAAGATAATGTGTTTCCAAACCATCTTGTGTTGGGTCCTCGCTTCGAAGAGACAGCGCCCCGAAGTCTCATCCTCCTTTCCTCCTCCCCCTCCTCCCTCCTCCCATGCGCGCCTCTGCCCTCCGCATGTCGAATTGCGGAACTCTGCCCTCCGCATGCCCATTTCGGCACACCCCTCACACGGTCCGTGGCCCCATAGGGAGTCCACCCAAGGCCCCAGTGGCCGCGTTCACATGCGTCCACCCCGCCCACCGCGCGCCCATTTCGGCACACCCCTCACACGGTCCGTGGCCCCATAGGGAGTTCAATTGAAGGCCCCAGTGGCCGCGTTCACATGCGTCCACCCCGCCCACCGAACGCCCATTTCGGCACACCCCTCACACGGTCCGTGGCCCCATAGGGAGTTTCTTCCAAGGCCCCAGTGACCGCGCGTTCGCATGCGTCCACCCCGCCCACCGCATGCCCATGTCGGCACACCCCTCACACGGTCCGTGGCCACATAGGGAGCTCCACCCAAGGCCTTAGTGGCCGCGTTCACATGCGTCCGCCCCGCCCACCGCATGCCCATTTCGGCACACCCCTCACACGGTCCGTGGCCCCATGGGAAGTTCCACCCAAGGCCCCAGTGGCCGCGTTCACATGTGGCCACCCCGCCCACCGCATGCCTTCGGCACACCACCAGTCACACGGTCCGTGGCCCCATAAGGAGTCCACCCAAGGCCCCAGTGACCGCGTTCACATGCGTCCACCCCGCCCACCGCATGCCCATTTCGGCACATACCTCACACGGTTTGCGGCTTCATAGGGAGCATGGCGCCCAAGGCCCCAGTGGCAGGTTTCGCATGCGTCCACCCTTCCCACCGCATGCTCATTCCGGAACACCCCTCACACGGTCCGTGGCCCCATCGGGAGTTCCACCGAAGGCCCCAGTGGCAGGGTTCGCATGCGGTTGCCCGTTCATTCCGGCGCACCCCTCACACGTGTCGTGGCCCCATAGGGAGCTCCACCGACGGCCTCAGTGGCAGGGTTCGCACACGGTTCCCCGCCCATTTCGGCACACCCCTCATACGTTTCGTGGGCCCACACGGGGCTCCACCGAAGGCCCCAGTGGCAGGGTTCGCATGCGGGATCCTGTCCATTTCGACACACTCCTCAAACGTTTTGTGGCCCCATAGGGAGCTCCACCGAAGGCCCCAGTGGCAGGGTTCACATGCGGGATCCCGTCCATTTCGCCACACCCCTCACACGTTTCGTTGCAGCATGGGGAGCTCCACCGCATGCCCCAGCGGCAGGGTTCGCACGCGGTTCCCCGCCCATTTCGGCACATTTTTTACAAGCTTCGTGGCCCCACAGGGAGTCCCACCGAAGGCCCCAGTTCTCATGCGGTTCCCCGCCCGGTTCGGCACACCCCTCACACGCGTCGTGGCCCAATAGGGAGCTCTACCCAAGGCCCCAGTGGCAGGGTTCGCATGCGGTTCCCCGTCAATTTCGGCGCACCACTCACACGTTTCGTGGCCCCATAGGGAGCTCCACCGACGGCCTCAGTGGCAGGGTTCGCACACGGTTCCCCGCCCATTCCGGCACACCCCTCACACGTTTCGTGGGCCCATAGGGGGCTCCACCCAAGGCCCCATTGGCAGGGTTCTCATGCGGTTCCCCGCCCATTTCGGCACACCCCTTACGTGTTTGTTGGGCCCACAGGGAGCTCCACCGAAGGTCCCAGTGGCAGGGTTCGCATGCGGTTCCCCGCCCATTTCGGCACACCCCTCACACGCTTCGCGGCCCCATAGGCAGGCCCGTCGAACCATGGACCCAGAATGCGGTATCCACAACTGCTTATGGTTGGGTCCTTCGTCAGGCTGATTTTGAAGAGACAGTCCCCGCGTCTCCTTCCTTCCATCCTCTCCTCCTCATCCCTCCTCCCATCCATGCCTCTGCCCTCCGCGTGAGTCACATGACAGCACACACCTTACACGTTTCGTGGCCCCACAGGGAGCTTCAGCCAAGGCCCCAGCGGCAGGGTCCGCATGGCGCACCCGCGCCCGATTCGGAACTCCACCGATGGGCCCAGCGGCAGGGTCCGCATGGCGTGCACGCTCACGCACCCCTCACGTTTCGGGCCCCCTTGGGAGCTCCACCGACGGCCCCAACGACAGAGTCCGCATGGCGTAATTTCCCGCACTCGAGTCGACGACCCTCACACGTTTTGTGGCCCCAAGGGGAGCTTCACCGAAGGCCCCAGACGCAGGGTCCGCGAGGCGCACCCGCACCTGATTCGGCACATCCCTCACACGTTTGGTGAGCTCCATCTGAAACTCCAACGACATGGTCCACCTGGCGCACCCCCACCTGATTCGGCACATCCTTCACCCACTTGGTGGTCCCATAGGGAGCTTCACCGAAGACCGAAGACCCCAACGGCAGAGTCCGCATGGTGTGCCCGCACCGGATTCGGAGCACCTCATAGAGAGCTCAACCGACGGCCCCAGCAGCAGGGTCCGTATGGCGCACCCACACCACATTCTCTACACCCCTCACACGCTTCGTGGCACCGTAGACCGGGTCCACCTATGGGCACAGCGGCTGGGTCTGCATGGCGTACCCGCACCCGGCTCTGCACCCCTCACACGTTTCGTGGCCCCATATTGGGTCTCCACCGATGGGCCCAGCAGCAAGTTCCGCATGGCGTACCCGCACACGATACGGCACACCCCTGGCGCACTTCGTGGTCCAATGGGGAGCTCGACCGAAGGCCCCATCGGCACGTTCGGCATGGCGTACCCGCACCCGATCCGGCACAACCCTCAGGCGTTCGGAGCTCCACCGATAGGCCCCCTCCTCCCTTCTCAGATGCTTCGGCAGCTGCATATGGTTGGGTCCTTCGCCAGGCACATTTCCCTATACGACTGATGTAATTCTGTGTTGTGTTTGCTTATGCAGGTATTCATTCCTCCAGCGCGTGAGCAGCGGAGTAGCGCCAAGGGCAGGAACGCGTTCATGCTAGTGCGCTCGGAGTCACCACCGCGCACCGTATGCGGTGGACATCATGTAGGTTCACCCAAACGTCCCACCAAGTGTGTGCACTACGTTTCGGCGGAAGACCCGCGTATTTTTTGGCTCTCGATCTATATATATATATATATATATATATAGATATAGAAGGAGAAGGCCTTTTCAGAGGGCGACGGGACTTCTCCGAAGCCCTCGCGCCTGCTGACAATGTGTTTGTTGTCTTCTGGGAAGGTTTAAGGCTGGGGGGCTTCCGAACCTTCTGATAATGCCTTCTCCTTACTACTCCCCCCCTCGCTCGCCGCCGGTGAAGTCCGCCCAGTCTCCAGTCGCCACCCCACTCCTCGAACAATCCCCTCCCCAGGAGAGGACCGGGCCGCGCCCGTGGCCATCATGCGGATCACGGCGCCGGACGTGCTGCACCCCATGATGCTGCACGGACTCGCGTACACGCCTCGGGAGGACTCGCCGGGCACCCCTGCCGTCGAGGAGGGGGAGGATCGGGGGCTCGTAGGGGGAGGATTATCTCAAGGTGGGGCTGGGTAACGCGGAACGATTTTCTTTCCGTCTCCACCTTTGCCCCAACCCCAGCTTTCTGCCCCCCCGAGAGGATGGGACCAGGGGCAACGTTAGGTGGGATATGTTCAGGATGGGACGCACAGACCCCCAATCGCCCATTCATCGCCGAGATGGGGCTCGATAGCCCGCCCCGCCCAGGAACCCGCGGGTTTTCGACCGGGGCATACTGCCGGTATATCGTCTATGTGTCAAGCTGGTCCCCACCTGACGTTGCCCCCCAAAACGGGGCAGAGGGAGGAGGGGCCCTGTCGTTGCCCAGCTATGCTCGGGATGCGAGATTTGGCCGTGGGCGGCTGCGCGTGCTAGCGTGGCGAGCAGTGGCAGCAGGCGCAGCGGGTGTTCATCGGGTCCGTGGGGAAAGCACGCGGGCGGCCTACTTCCAGAACAGGCGCAAGCTTGCTTGCCTGGCAGGCTGTCGGCGCTTACTGTCGCCTGCTGGCTGTGCGGCAGCGAGGGTCATGGGCCGTGAACTGTACATTGTCGCCGTATGCATGGCCAGGGCCCAGGTGGGCGAGATCCTGCGCTGAGGTAAGAATTATAATCGATGATCAATGATCGAGTTGTTCGGGCGTGGGGTCGGCGATCGAGAACCGAGGATTGTATGGATAGAGTTGTTCGACCGTGTGGGGTCTCGGAAGAGCCCCTTTTCGGGAATTGTGATCGGCAACATAATCCTGAAGCCATCATCAGCCGAATGTGGAGAGTGTTGACGATAGAAGAACGACTGTTAGATTTCAACGATCGTCACTTCTCGGGGGCCTTGTGCAGAGCTATCTGAGCCGTTGTGAATCACCTTGGGGTTATCTTGGTGCAATATTGGGACCACCCTTGGGCCGCCATTAGGCCGTCATTAGGTTTGTTGGACCGTCCGAGGTCTCCTGGAAGGGAACTTGCAATCATCTTGGGCTTTCAGGCTTGACTGGGGCGGAAGGTTCAAGTCCCCGTGGCCTGGGGATACCTCCAAGCCCGCCAGGGGCCACTGTCAAAACAGCAGAGTGGACCCGCAAACATGTCTGAAGAGTTGTTCGCCCTTTTCCGCCGGCCTCCCCCTTCCGACTACTTCTGGGGTGCAGTGACGGTGTTGTTGAACATGCTGTTTATAGTTTCTTGGGCAGTGTGGAAAGATGTCTTTGAATCTCGTGCCATCGAGGAAAAGCCTCATTGTCTATGTTTGGGTCGTGTTGGCGCTGTTTCATCATTGTCGGGCCATCTTGGGGTCTCTCGGTCGCGTGTGGGGGCTCCGATGCGCCTTAGGAAGCTCTCGGAGGCCGATGGGGGACAGGGCGTGAAGGATCAAGATAGGGCATGTTGAGGAAGAGAGGCACGAGGAGGTGGTAGGATCGCGCGGGATGTACGGCAAGCCTGCAGGACGTGCTTGCGACGGATGTTGCCAAGGCGATCTCCTACGCCGCGTTCGACCGGGCCTGGCCGTTCTACTTGCAGCAGTTCGTTTTCGATTTCCTTAGTGCCATGATCCTTTTTTACATTGCTTGGGAGGTTCATTTCTCCTCCTCTTGCTCGTCCTCCCCATGCCCCTTCCGCTTGTGGTGCTCCTTCTTCTCCACCTCTCGCAATCACATAGCCCTCCTTCCCCTTGCTGGGAAGGTCCATAGGCTGCAACATGATGATGGGACAGTGCAGTGGAACTTTGATGAGTGGAAGCCAATATCGCTGCCGCGCATATCCGCATGGACGGAAGAAGAACGAGCAGCCGGTTCAGCCGTGGGGTGACCCAGATTCAGGAGGGAAAGAAACACACAGACACAATTAATCGTCGACTCCCAGGAAAATATGGGAAAATATGGGAATTGGGCGGGAAGACAAAAACCCAGAAAATATGGGGAAATATGGGGAATCATTTTATTTGTGTGTATTTATTTGTGTGTCCCAGGGCCCCTTCACAGATGTAATGTCTAATATTTGTGTCTTCGTGGGCGACGAAGGTCTCGCAAGAGACACCGTGTTGGAAACAACAAAGGGTGTGTCACACACAAGCCGCATCAAAGTGCGGCGGCGGAAAAGATATTGGCTTTTGCCATCATTCTTATAGTGTTGTTGAAGAACATGTTTGAGGAGATGCGCAAGGCCTTCGGATTCTGGAAGTGCAAGTGGATGAAAGAGTACATGAACACAAATACCTTGAAGGACTTGGGCAGCATGGCCGTGGTAGCCATGGTTTTAATTTTGATGGCGCTGCCAAACCCTCCGTCAGACCCGGGGTACCTCCGGACTGTTTTAGCAGCCGCGGGGTTCTTCAAGTGGATCAAGATCGTCTCTTACTTTCGTGGTATATTGGCGCTCCGATTGGGACCTAAGTTCCTGCCAATATCGTACACACTGCAGGAAGGATTGTCGTTCCTCGTGGTCATGATGTTTTTCATATTGGCTGCATGGCATGCTTTCTACACGCTCTACCCCGGAAAGATATCTTGGACGTTTCTGTTCAGCATGACGTACAATCTAGGATTCTTCGGTGATTTTGATTTGGACAGCATTTTGAGTGAAGAGTCTAACGCTGGAGAGGTTAGCTATTCATGGGTGCAGCAGCTCCTGTTCGCCGTGGCTGCCATGCTCGTGATGGTGATGCTCACGAACATCTATTCAAGACACTTTCGGAAATGACCGCCTGAAGAGAAGCCCAGCAGTGTCTCGGGGGACCAGGATACTTCCTGAGTCGAGCAGTATCGAGTTCCGCCAGGCTTAGAAATCTCGAGCCCTCGTGGTCAAGCTTTGACCCAGTAGAGCCTGTTGGAAACTCACGTGCATTGCTGTGACGAGACGATGTCGTTTGGTTTTTGTTTGCTTGGGGTCGCCGAGGTCTGAGATCAAGGAGGACGACGAAGAGCACGAGGCGAGATGCCACGGGAAAGGGGTAGCACGAGGCGACAGGAGCCGTGGATAGGGGAGAGATAATGATCAGGAGGCCTGGTGCCCAAGCCTTCCCAAGCGAGACGTGGGTTGGCGGACATCGGCGTCATGGGCAATGCTTACAACCACTACCACGATAAGGCGTCGGATCCCTGCTCTCTCGCTCGCCCAATTGTCTGCCCGGCGTGCGGAAGTCAGAGTGTCGCGCCACATCGCCACTGCATCGGCGACGTGGCTCGATCCACAGCGACGGCGTCGCGTATGCATCCCCGATTCATCGCCGATGCGGCCTATCAACTCGGACCCTAGTTGGGCGGCCCCCCTTATTGTCGTAGGAGGAGGAGGAGGAGGACTGTCTCGGGTGTATCCTTGGGACCAGCGAGCTTCCAACCACGCCGGCCAGCGTGGGAGGGGGGGGACCCTGGTGCACGAGGAGGACGCCATCGCGTGGTCCAAGGCAGGGGAGGATGGATAGCCGCGACGTCGCTGTTGCTCTGTGCAGCGAGCCTGGTGGACAGAAGGAGGAGGAGGCTGAGCAGAAGGCGGAGGCGGAGGCGGAGGAGAAGGGGGGGGAACGGTCAAATCGAGGAGGAGGATCATGGGCAGGATTGGAGCAGGGAAGGTGGAGTGAGAAGGGATGTTGCCCGGAGCAGAGGTGCGAAACGTCAAGGGGAAGGAAGGTTGACAGGGAGCAGGGAGTGAAGTAGGAGAAGGATGGATGGGTGGGATCGAGGTCGTGGAAGAACCAGGGATAGTTCCTGGAGGGGAGGCCATGGAGCTGTTCGTGCGGGCACGCGCGTCCATCTGCCTCGACATCTCCATGCAGTACGGCAACGCGTGGCAGGATTTGGGTCGATAATCACCTCGGACTAGGTCTATGTTGCGCCGACTGGGACCTCATCGCTTCCTTCCTTCGCGTCATCACCTTTCTCCTTCTCCCCTTTTCTTCGTCCCCCTGCCGCCACTCAGATGCCCCTCTACCTCATCCTCTTCGTCTCCCTCCCCCTCCTCATCTTCATTTCCCACCCCCGTAGCCAAGGCCATTTGGGCTCAAGGCTTCAAGCGCCAGCTCAGATCCAGCGGCGTGCTGCCGCCTGCAAGAACGCGCCAGGTGGCTGCCCAGCCGCTGCTTCCCGCCCCCGCGGGCCGTCCCCACTCCCCTGCGGCCGCCAGCCATGCCAACTTGGACCACAGGTGGCTCAGCGCAGGGCCCCAGCCAACCGGGCCAATGCGCGTGCCGTGCAGGTGCTGCTTCGTGGTCTGCGCAGCTTGGCGCCTCGCGGGTCGCCAGCGCTCTCCACCAGACGCTCGAGGCGGAGGCAGGCTTTCGCGTTCCTCATCCCCGGCCCCCTGGAGGAGACGACCGAGGAGGCAATGAAGGTCCTCCACAATCTCCTTGTGGAGGTCAGCGTCCAGAATTTCGGGGATGCTTCCCGCTGGGATGCAAATCCTTCTCATGTCTCACGTCTTGCTGGTAACGGTGTTCGTACCTCCCCTCTCGCATGTTCTGGTTTCCCCTCCTGTCCATGAGGTGACTCGTGGTGACGGTGCACGACGTGGTGCCACGCAAGCGCCCGATCCGTGGGTTCCACGCTTTGCCGATCCCTGGGCGCCCGCGGCCGCGGCAGTGACAGTTGTTGTGGGGCTCGGGATTGCGTCCGCCGTTTTGAGCCTCTCCCCACAGCCGCCGAGTCCACAACAAGTCCTTCCCCTCACGTCTCTAGCAGTTCTTCTGATGGTTGCCCTCCTCGCTCCGTCACTTCCTCTTCCTTATCGCATCCCCTCTCTTCTTCTTCTTTTCTTTTCCTCCTACCACCACCCTCCCCCGTTTTCCTTCCTTCCATTCCTCTCCCTCGCTCCCCCCGCCCTTCCCCTCTTCCCTCTCCTCCGCTCTCCTCCTTTTGCCCCTTTTCCTATTCCTGCTCACGGCCCCATGCGTATCGAATAATCGCAGGGGGGCCGTCCACGCGCTACCTGAAGTGTTTCGGCGGCCACCACTCGTGGGGATGATGCCCGCGGCTCAGCGAGAGGGGTGTCTTTGCTTCTGATGTGTTGGTCAACCTTCAGCATACGTACGTCAGGTGAGCGCCTTCTTGAACTCCTGTGGGAAACAATGAATGTTGATTCCGTTCTTCTGGCAGGTACTCAGCTGGAGGAGCACGTTTCTCTCGCCCCGCATGTCCAGATCACACGTTGTGTAGGCAGAATGTGTATTACTGCTCCGTATTTCCCGGCGCCACGCAGCAACCATAGTCGTGGCTGTTCGTTCGCCTTCGGCCCGCAGGTGCAAACCCGACGCCTACTTCGGACGTGGGCGCTTCCGCCCGAGGCGCGAGGCAGAGCAGTTGCAGCAATAGTGAAGTACGTTTCGGTTGACATGTGCGGCAGACTATGTTATTTCCCACCCCGCCCGAAGTCACGTGCATATCATGGAGGCTAGCTCCAGACTGTGGTGTGGTTGATTGCGCGGCTCATGGACCTACCATGTGCCCTTCCAGTTCGTTGCATGCCGATTTCATTTGATGTCCTGAATGATGGCATGGGTGCTGTCATATCGGACGGACTGTGATCGTCACTTGATTCTCTTGTGGTTGGCTTGCCGAAGCGAATGTAATTTGCGCAATGTGCAGGTCACAGGATGCGTATGTCGATGGAAACCCACGGGCCCATGGCCGCGCACACGTTCGGACATGGGTTTAAAAGCGCTCTGTGTGGCACGAGTGGGTATATACGAATTGAGTACATTGTCCGCAAACTATGCATGAGTCAGTGGTTACGTGTCGGGCACACCTTGGCCGCCAAGTTGCAATTGATTTGGTCATGTTCCTGTGGTCGCCGCTCTACTGTACGAACAGCATCCCGTAGCTGTCGGCGGTTCCCAACCAAGCAGGATTTGATGTAGATCGGCTGATGTTTTCGCTGCGGGAAGGACGAGGGCGGGCACTGTTTGTTGGAGGCGCTCAGGATTAAGTGTTGCTATTTCCGTTGTCTCCACCTGCAGTGGTTCAGAGACAATGCCTCCCCCGACGAGATTTTCGAGGAGCTGGAACGAGTCTTGGCGGAGGCGGGCTAGGCTTGTTTGCCCATCCACATGATGCGCGTCCCGAATATTCGTCTGATTATTTGGGGCGCTGCGCCGTTCTGGCACAGTGAATGCGGCTTCGGGATGGCAAGTATCAAGCATCACTCGAGCACGGTCTCCGCATTGATCAAGAGCTGAAAAGAAGGATTAGCCCTCCAGCTCCACCTCGACCGACGCCGCGCGACCTGGGGGCTGGGATCCCATCTTGCCCACGAGGTGGTTGATGCGCGGCATTCGGGGCGCGCGGCAGAGGGAATGATATTGGTCGGGCGCGCAGCGCGCGGGCGTTGCGGGCCCGAGCGTCGCGATGGTCGTTTAGTTCGCCGAGCGCGCCCTTGTCGAAAAGCCCGGGTCGAAGTTCAGGGCAAGTCTAAGCTGGGCGGCGTCACGGAGGTGGTCGTTGTCTTGGGGGAACTGCAGGGGTTCTCGGGTGGATGCAGGCCTTGTCTAATCCCGTTTCAAATTGAAGGCTTGGAGTTTGTTGAAGAAGACGGTCTGTAAATTCGCAGATGCGCCCGGAGGGCGCGGGGGGAAATTGGTTCCTGCGGGGGCCGCGCCTCTGGAGATCTGGCACCAGCGCGCGCGGCCGAGCAGCAGAGATCCTTCTTTGCCGAGTAGGGGGCTGCGGCGACATGAATTGCACCGCGGGGCTTTTTCTTCCATCTCTCTCCTCTGGGGCTGGCGTATATGCGGGAGTGCCAGGAGGCGCCCCGATGCCGGGGCAGAATTCGGGGCGCGAGCGCCACGAGGAAGCTGGGGGGAGAACCCAGAGGGGCTCGCGCGGTTCACGCCCGGCCGCTCGCAGGCCATTTTTTTTACTGGCAGATTGATGGTTGCTCCATCGGTGGTCGAACATGGCGCCTTTATGTTTTTACAAGAACAGCGACGAAGGGAACACGCTGATCGAACTGCATTGACAACGGGGTGGCGGGCCTGGCGGTTGGGGGCCACATCTTGCAGCTTCTGCAAGGTCATGAGCGCTGCATCTGCAAGTTCGGCCTGGTCTGAATTGGGCCAGACAGTTTCCCTCGCGGCGGGTGGGCAACATCGCCAAGTTCGATGCCGTCAGCGAGATCGCTCGGCCGCAATGGAGCTGGGCTCGCAGGAGGGCACCTCCGGGTGCGACCGCGGCGTGGGGGTGGGTGGGGGGGGGGGGGAGATCAACCTGCAGGTCAGGGCTGCATGGGCACGCTTGCGCCAGCTGGTCGGAGCTGCGCGGTTCGCCGCGAGGGCACCGGGACGCGAGACCTCATCCTTTTCGGGGGCGGGCTCTCTGCATATTCGAGTCTGACAAACAAAATGCACGGGCGATTTGCCGAACACGGCACCTGCAGATCGGAAAGGTACGCCACGGGGCTGTCGAGATAAATTGGAGAAGGTGGGCGGCTCATTGGGTGGAGCTCCATCGCCTCGCGGGCGCGGGCGAAACATTAGCAATCGAGAGATGCTGTTCTACATCGCACGCCGCGATAACCCTCGCGCCGCGCGTCTCGGACGCGCGCATCTACAACCCAGGGGGCTGCGACGGATTGCGTTCGCAACCTGGGGCCCTGCCCGAAATCGGGACTTCGCGCATCGCGACGTGAATGGATGTTTTGGGTAGGCAAGGAAGGCTTTGTTGCATTGTTTTTTTTTTTGGGGGGGGGTCAACTCATTGGCGATGCCCTGCATGTGGCGCCGCGCAGTCTTGCATGTTCAGGTAGTCAACGCTCGGATTAATGGCCTCGAACCGTCTGTCCGACAGGAGAGTGGCCATGCGCGCGTAGACAGTTGCTCGGCGGCCCCGCGCGCGTCGCTGCGGGGCGGGGGGGGGGGGGGGGGGGGGGGCTGCCGCTGACGAGTGTCATAATGCCGCTTTTCGCTCGCGCAGCAAAGCGCAGATCTCGGGCAACTGGCGCCTGGCGGGAATCAATGTCGAACTGATCGTCCGTCGTGCGAAGCTCTACCAGCCGCGGGCGGCTCGCCGCAGTTACTTGCCGCGCGTGGGCCCTGCGACGTGCTCGGCGCCCTCGCGATGGGGGAGGGGATTGGGTCCGAGCCTCAGTTTGCGGATGGAGTTCCGGCGGCCATTGTTTCTATTTGGGCGGATCGGCTGGCCATGGATCTTGCGCTTGCCTCGGGCCGTCTAGATTGCCGTGCCGTAGGTGAACCAATCTCGGACTCGCGCGCCCTGGCAGATTCAGAGGCGGCCCATGACTTTGCAAACGCCAGGTTCATGGAGCTCAGGGCCAGGGAGTTCGGGGCGTGCGCCCCGCTTCCCGGCGCGCGCGCGTCTTCGACAGCTACTGGCGCGCAGGTGGAGGGCGAGGCTGGGGCCGCGGGGATGGAGGAGGATGGGCAACTACAGGTGCGAGACCGTAGACGCTCAGGACACCGCATGCCACGCCGTCTGCTGCGATCGCACAGCATGGTTGAACGGCATGCGCACACGCCATCGTGCGCGAGACCTCCCAGTCGCCCACGCACCGTGCAAAATATGTGCACGCCGAAAGCATCAAAACAAGTGACCGCTGCGCCTCTTTTTCTTGGGTCCCTGCTCCCTTGGCGAGTGGCCCCGCTGCATTGGTGGCCGCGGTTCTGCCCGGAACGCGCGATTGCCCATCGCGCGACTACCGGGGCGAGGGGTCGGGAACTCTCCGCGGCAAGTCGCGCACGCACGCCCCATGGGAGCCGTGGCCTCGCCGCGCGCGACCCCCTTCCACCAATGGTGGGGGGGCCGAGCCAGCATGGGGGCCGCGCCAGAGCTTGCGGCGCTATCGCGGTTCAACCCAGCGCAGTCGCGCAGATGCGAGGGCGTCGGCAAGGGCGGAGGCGGGCAGATGGCGCCAAGGAGCGACGACGGCAAGATGGGCGCGGGCGTGCCCAGCATGCCCTCGATGCCCGTTGCCCGCCTTTTCCCGGCTACGACGCGCGGCCGGCCGACCCAGCGGCGGCGGCGTTCGTCGCGTTCGAGAGGAACGCGGCGCAGGGCTCCCCTGCACCGCTCGCGGCAGCGGGCGCGGCTCGCGACGGCAGGGGCAAGGTGCTTGCGGACCTCGCGAAGGCAGGCGAGCAGATCGGTCAGGGCTCGCATCGCGGTCGAGGGCTGCTCCACTTCCACGCCTTCGCAGCAGAGGCGCATCACGTCGCGGCGCTTCAGCGCGCCGAGGGAACACAACCGAACATGGTGAAGCAGCTGCGGATGGACGCGGAGGAGTTTTGGAGCAATGACGTGGCCGCCGACCACATTCTGATGTAGGGAGTCGCAGTGGCGCGTGTCCGTCTCCAGGTGCAGAAGGAGAACGAGTCACATCAGCGCTGCCGGGCCACCGTGTTATTCGATGTGGGCAACCCGATCGGCCAGCAGTGGGTCAGGACACATTCGCGTGGATCCTCGCGAGGGGGCGGAGAGGCCTTGCGGCAGCGCCCTTCGGGACCCATTATTGCAGCGTGAGATACTGTCAGCAGTGAACAGCAAACAATATAGCAAAGGAGTGAGAAATTTACAGATTTTGTAGAGCGTGGTGTGCTTTCTCCAGAGGTAGCAGCGCGAGTGTTAGCAGGGCGCGCAACATGCCAGAATCGCGTGGACTACCAGAACTGCTAAGTATCCCAACGGTAGCGATTCCTCGCCGAGGCTCCTGGTCGAAGGGCTGGGCGGCGGCGATTCGGGGGCGGGCGGGGGAGATTTAAGCACCGACCAACGAGAGCCAGCAGTAAGAGCAAAGCAGCGTGTTTGCGCTGTCTCCCATGCCGTCCAAGTCGGCCCTCACCCGAGGTTGCGCGCTTCAGAGGCGCCGGCAGGCCAGTGCCGCGCAAGGGGAGGGTGAGTTGCAGATGTATTCCGGAGATTTTCATAAAAGGTCGAAGCGACCCGCTCTCAGAGTCTCAGACAGTGGTGGGTTCCATGGGCCCGTCTTGTCTCGTTTTCTCCTCCTCCCCCTGTTCCTACCCCTTCTCCTCCCCCTCCTCCCCGTCCCCCTCCTCCCCGTCCCCCTCCTCCTCCTCGACCTGGTTGTTTTCCTCCTCCTCTTATTCCTCCGACTCTGGCGCCCCTACCTCTTCCTTCCCTCTTTCCGGGCTGATGATCCCCCCCGCGAAGTCGGCCGCGGGCGACCGGGCCCAGCCGGGGGTCCAGCCGGGGGTCCCGAAACCATCGCGGTGCGCATCCGGGGGCGCGTTCAGGCGATGTTTGGCGACACCAAGCGCGACGTCGAGGATGAGTACGTGTGGTTCCTGCTCGTCGTGGGCCGGGGGATGGATGGGCAGCAGGAGGGTGGAGAATCGAGGAGGCGAAGGGGGGGGGAAGGAGGAGAAGGAGGAGGATGACGAGGACAGAGGAGGAGGAGGACGGAGGACGGACGAGGTGGAGGAGGAGGACAGTGCAAACCCAAGATTCATCAACGATGTTGGAATCAACCATTCTTCCTAGCTCCTTCTACCGACATCCTGACATGGATGTAGTTCCCATTGCAGGAAATCCCGTTAGGGACAATCGTTTGGAGATTCTGAAGCGTGCCAAACACGATTTCCGGAACGTCGGCGCCACGAATCAACATGATTGCTGCGTCTCGACGGTCTTGAACCGTGCCAAACACCCTGGTGTTCGACACCGCGGCTCGATGTAACTGGTACGTCCTGACAATATCGATTCGTTGCAAAGTTCCGTTTCTGGTACGCTAGCCGTGAGCATCCGCGTAACTTTTGCAGTTTTTCAACATGTGCGCGGCGGTAAGGCGAAACCACATTTTGAAATCGACCCGCCTTCAATCCGTGAAACTCTTGCAACGTGTTAGTCTAATGTGCGCGGCGGTGAAGCGAGAACCACATATTGCAAATGGCTTGCAATCGATGTGTGAAACCTGTGACCTTTTGTTGGATGTGAGTGCCCGCGGCGGTACAACGAGAACCACATTTTGAAAACGGCCCGCCCTCAATCCATGAATCTCTCGGGATATTTTAAGACGAGTGTGCGTGGCGCTGAGGCGAGAACCGCATGCTGAGAATTACCCCCCCTTAATCCGTGAGGGCTTTGCAAATGTCTAAGACGAATGCGCGCGGCGCTAAGTCGAGAGTCACATGGTGAAAACGACCCGCCATCAATCCGTGAAACTCTTTGCAAATATGTATGGCGAGTGTGCGCTGCGCACAGGCGGGAGACACATGTTTGAAGCCGCCCGCACTTCATCTTTGAAACACGGTTGCCAAGTGTTCAGATCGGGTATTCATGATAAGGGAATTTCAGGCGAAACGCCTTGGGCGCTCGTCCAAGTGGTCTCGGGGTACGACCGACATTTTAGTTATTTATAGGGAAAGGAATGCGGTAGGAAGAGGAGGAGGAGGAGGAGGAGCAGGAGGAAGAGGAGGAGGTTGGTGAGGAGCAGGAGGACGGAGAGGAGGAGGAGCAGGAGGAGGAGGAGGAGGGAGCAGGCGGAGGAGGGTCCCGTAGCCACTTCGGTTCAAGGAGCCGCTGCCCGCCCATGGGACCAGCCCTGCCGCAAGGGCCGGGGGGGGGGGGCAGGGCGCTTGCGCGCTCTTGACTACCAGGGCTGCGCAGGGCAGATTTTGCTCCGGGCGGGCAGCTTGTCGCCGTCCGCCTCCTGCGCCCTGCCAGCTTTTGCCTTCGGCGATGAAGAGGTGCCTCGGACTTCGTCCTCACACTCTCCGCGTAGACGCGCCGAGGAGCCACCAATCGAGCAGTTGCATTGGCCAGTGCAGCAGAAGGCGGTTGGGTGGGCCACTTTGTCCATTGCCCGGAGGTTCCCAGGGTTCCCCGGATTCCCCGCCCCCAGTGCCTCATGCCGAGCAATTCCAAGCAATGTCAAGCAACGGCTTCCCGGGGGTCCCCGTCCCCGGTGCCCCAGGCCAAGCAATGCCAAGCAATGCCAAGCACTGCGCCCATGTAGCAGGAAGCTCTCCCCTCATTGGGGTCGCGCCGGGCTCCTCTCCACAACGGGCGGTGCCGCCAAGATTCGGGCCCTGGGACCCTCACAGATCGATCCTGCCTCCTCCTACTCCTCGCTTCTTCTCCTCCTCCTCCTCCTCCTCCTCCTCCTCCTCCTCCTCCTCCTCCTCCTCCTCGCTCCTCGCTCCTCGCTCCTCCTCCTCGTCCTCCTCCTCCTCCTCGCTGGCGGGGGTCCGCCAGTCCTCTCTGGCCCCTTCGTGGCTTGCCCGGCTTGGTCCGCAATCCTTGGTCGCTCGTGTTTGGGAATTGATCGGTTTGCTGGGCTCGCTGCTTCGGGTGCGCAGTTCGCGCGTATGGCTCGGGGGCATCCTGGTGGGGCGGCGGCTTGCGCTCGTGGATTGTAGCACGATGCAGTTTTGGTTTGTGGCAGGTGCGCGCCTGCGGCAGGTTTGCTCGCCCTACCGTGGGAAAAAGGGGCTGCGGCTCGCGGTCCAGAGACCCCCCTTATCTTCCCGGTTCAGAAGACTGCGACCGTCTGCGTTGCCGCATCACGGTCCCACTTACTATCATCGTATTCGTCTTTTGGCAGGGGGGAGATGTGTAGGTCCCACGCGGGCCGAACATTGGCCCCAAACATTTGTTGGTTGGCCACCTGGCCCCAGCAGGGCTGTCGCTTCTGGTGTTCAGCGGGCTCATTCTACGAGTAGTTCGGCATCACTGCCCACTCGGGCGAGCTGTGCCGTCCAAGTGGTTGTCCGACGCCTACGATGCCCCCAACCAGTGCACGACCAGGTGCGGATTCGACTAGGTGTTCTTGCTCAGGTCGGCGACGTCCGCGGAGTCTTCGGAAAAGGGCCTCTGGAATCTGCCAAGGAGTACACTCTCCTCCCCAGCCGTGCTGTTGCTCTTGTGTCGGTGGACGCTCGCAGCCGCCACGAGGCAGGGTTTCCTGGCAGGGCGCTCCGCGATGTCGTCCGATGTCCTGCTGGGTGCGATTCTGCGCCAGCGTGGCTTCGCCTGTGCGCCCCCCAAGACTGCCATCAGGCAATTGGCGACATTCGAAGGAGAAAAAACTTATAAGAATACACTTTGGGCGCTCAGCGCGGGTTTCTTGGATCCGCCCTGGCGCGCTTCGCGCGCCAGGGAGGGGGGTCTGGCGCAGATCCGAGAAATCCGCGCGGAGCGCAACAAGTTTATGGTTCTGCGTTTTTTGTTCCACCAGACATGGAAGTGCATAGTATTGCCCGAGTTTCTTATATATTGTCGGCGTTTCTGCATGCACATCCGTCGTCAACGCCAGCTCCAAGATCGACCTGTTCTATTGGGCAGGTCCGGCACTAGGCCTGGTGACCCACCGCCCGGTTGCGCGGGCTTTGGAGTCGTGCGGAGACCTTGCGTGCGAGGGCCCTCCCCTTTTGGCGACGGTGCTCAACGCCTTTGACCCGCAGGCTGGTTAAGAGACCGTGCTCGGGCAGATAGCGCGGTCCATTTCCAGGCAATTCGGGGAGCTCTGCGTGCCAATACTGCGCCGCGCTCGCGTCGTGCACTTATTTGGCCAGTCACGCCAGCTGAACAACGACATACTCAAGCAGGTGCTCGCGGGGGAGATCGACTTCCCGGGGGCCCGCGACCGTTCCCTGGAGGGCGGAGAAGGCGCATGTTGCTTGACTGGCGATGGCCTGTGGGGCCATGGTTCCGCCGGAAGGGACCGCGTGTCTGACGACGGCGCGGGCCCTCTCCAGGAAGGCCCGCCCATTATGCAGCCTCCAGCCGGCCCCGCTGCCGCCGACGGTGCCAGGCTGTCTGGGGCGCGACATGGGTGTATACCCTCCGCCCCGTCAGAACACGACTATGCGTTTACACCGAAAACCGTATACCAATCCCTCGAGATTGGTGTATATCGTCAACCCTGTGAAAGCACTGCTTGTATACACCGAAATTTTGTTCACAGATGACCTGGCCTGCGTGTCGCCCCTGGGGACAGGGGCGATTGGGGCCGCCGCCGGGGGCAGGGGCGATTGGGGCTGCGGAGTCGGACGTCCCACCCTTAGTTCGGGTATAGCCAGGACCCCGAGTAAGGGGACCCGCCCGGTCAGTGGTAGGGCCCTGGGGCCCCTCAATTGGCCAGATTCGCTTACCCAGGTTTGCCGTAACTGGTGTCTTAACTGGTTTGCCGTAACTGGTGTTTTTTCGGGTGACGGCAGTTCCTGTTAGTGGGAATGGGGCGGGGGAGCGCCCCCAGTACAAATCATCAAACCAGGTTCCACTAAACCCAGTTCTGCCAACGCCCGATTAGTGGGCGCGGGACGCGGCCCCAGCAGGTCAGCAAACGACTTTGACGGTCCGCGATTCGGTCGGCAAGTGTTCGGAACCAGGTTCCCCGTGGCCAGTGGAGCCGTGGCCCGTGACTCAGCGGCCGCCGCTCCATCTCCTGCGCCCCAGTGGGGCGCGAGATCATGGACCTCGTCTCCGCGGCACGCGGTTTCGGTTTGGCGCGTCGCGGTCTCCGTGGCATTGTTCCCGTGCTTCGTGGATCCGTGGCTTTCGGAAAGGGTAAAGGGGAAGAGGGACTACGCGTGGGCGAGGGAGGATGACGAAGGGGAGCCGCAGGGAGCAGGTGGAGGGGGAATGGCACAGAGAGGGGGGGGGCGAGGGGACGTGGGATGCTTTTTGAGTGGAGTAAGCAGCAATCAGGGGACGGGACTATTCGGGCGGGGCGGTGGGGCGCACGGAATTCTGAACGAATGGGGGCGGAGGGGGGGGGGGAGGGCGGAAGGTTGACGAGGCGGGGAGAAGGAGGGAGGAAGGACAGTGTCCGAGCGAGCCGGGGCGATCCTGGATGGGGTAGTAAGGAGAAAGAACGGAGGGGAAGGAGGGCATGTGAAGCAAGGAGGGGGTGGCGTGATGGAGGAGGGTTCCCAGCCGACCGAGAAGGGAACGGGGGGCAGGCATGGCGGAGGAGGGCGCAAACATGACAGAACTGTTTGCAAAGGAGGGGAAGGAAGGGAGGAGGATGGAGGGAGGGGGGGAGGCTAGCGGGTTAGAAGCGGGAAGGAACGAGGAAGAGTAGGAGGAGGAGGAGGAGGAGGAGGAGCAGTGTAACCCAAGAGTCACCAACGGTGTAGGAATGAGCACTCCCTCCAAGCTCCCTTTTCGCAGGCCTCTACATCGGTCCATTTCCTCTGAGGGAACTGCGCCGTTGGAGGACAACGGGTTGAAGACCCTGAAGCATGCCAAAACATTGTTCTCGGGATTCCAACTCCACGGGTCAACCTGATTGTTGCTTCCTGACGATCCGGACCGCACCAGAACGCCATT